ACCCTGTGAGGTGGGTGGGGCTGAGAGAGCTCTGACAGAAACTGCTCTTTTTCAAGGACAGCTGTGCCAGAGCTTGTGACTGACCCAAGGTCACATCAGCAGGTGCAAGTGGAGGAGTGGGGAATCAAACCCGGTTCTCCCAGATTAGAGTCGCGCACTTAACCACGACACCAAACTGGCTCCATACAGCGAAGCTGTTGTCAAAGTGGCTTGACATCAGTCATGCCTGCGCGAATAGTTCTGCTGTAAAGCACAGTTGGAAGATGCAGCAAGGTGCATATTTATTTATTTATTTATTTATTTATTTATTGGATTTGTATTCCGCTCTCCCCGAACAAGCTCAGTGTGGATCACAACAAATCGAGTCAAAGACTCGTTACAATAAAATCACATTAAAATCATAAAAACAATAAAATTGGTAGCAGCCATATATAGATCTTTTGGGGCCACAAGGTGGAATCAGATGGGCCCTTTCGGCAGGTTGGGAACTAAAGCAGGGAGGCCGACGGAGATGGACGCCCGCCCCCTCAGCTGAAAGCCTGGTGGAACAGCTCTGTTCCGTAGGCCCCGTGGAACGATAAAAGGTCCCGCAGGGCCCTGATCTCCAGTGGGAGCTGATTCCACCAGGCCGGAGCCAGGGCAGAAAAAGCCCTGGCCCTGGTCAAGGCTAAACAGACGTCCTTTGGGCCAGGGGTAACCAGCAGATGTTGGTCCTGTGAACTTCCCATCCCAGCAATTAAATTTATCCTCAACAATAACTGAACAATAAGCATAATAGTGGACACATGTGAACAGACGTTGTTACCTTATACCAGGGGCGTAAACTGTGGGGGGCAGTGGGGCTCGATCTCCCCCTGGTCAGGCTCTCTAGGATTTCTCAGCAGGAGCAGTGCCCCGCCCTCCACTGCCAAGGCAGTGTTCCGAGCAGGGGTCATTTCGTAGAAAAAGAGGTGCAGGAGCTCATTGGCATAACTCATTAGCATAACTTATTTGCATATGCCACACACCCTGACATCACCGGACGTGTGTCAGAAGGCAACACCCACCACTCAGGCTCCACTAAACTGCTCTTTTGGATTGCCAGCTATTGGGGGGGGGGGGAGAACGTGCAGATCTGTCCTCACAGAGGAGGGAGAGCTTGTACCTGAATAAAACTTGGTCTTAAAGGTGCCATTGGACTGTTTTGGACTGGGGGGCTCTGCAACTTACCTGGCTGCTTCTTGCTCTGACTGAGGGCTGCTGGGAGCAGGGGGCGGGGCTTGTTGCATGTGCCCGCCCCCTGGGCTCTTTACTGCCGGCGCTCCTGCAGGGAATGACCCCTGATTCTGAGTATCCAGTATGTGAGTTGTGCAGTTGTTAAGAATGTTGGTGTAAGATTGGGGAGACCATAGTTCAAATTCCTACTTAGCCACGAAGCACAGTATGTCATCATGGTCTAGACATAACGCTCAACATAACTTGTGAGGAAAAGAGAGAGGGGGAGGGAGTGTTTCCTTTAATGCACGGATGAAATATTTACTCAAATCGCCCCGGTGAAGGAGTTGATGACATCTTTCCTCTCGTCTTACAGAGTTCTCATTGTTGTTTTTTTGACAAAGATTCAGAATATTACGAGTGAATTTTTTCCCCCAAACCACAGGATTAATTGTTGAGGGCATATGGTTTTTCGAAATATAAATCCTTTATGAAATCATTTCATGTAGATAACGAAGTATGGGCCCGGACCAGGTTCAGCCCTGTCCCCTCCCGCCCCAGGAAATTCAGAAGTTTGTGCTCTTTCCTTATACTGGTCCATTGAGGTCAGTCTTGTCTACTCAGACTGTCAGCAGCTCTCCAGGGTCTCAGGCTGAGGTCTTCTCCATCACCTACTTGAAGCATGGATGGCTTCAAGAGGGAATTAGATAAAAATATGGAGCAGAGGTCCATCAGTGGCTATTAACCACAAGGTATAGATAGGAACTCTCGGTCTGGGACGAGTGATGCTCTGTATTCTTGGTGCTGGGTGGGGCAAGAGTGGGAGGGCTTCTAGTGTCCTGGCCCCACTGATGGACCTTCTGACGGCCCCTGGTATTTTTGGCCATTATGTGACAGAGTGTTGGACTGGATGTTCTATTGGCCTGATCCAACATTGGCTTCTCTTTATGTTATTAAGAGCAGAGGTCCATCAGTGGCTATTAGCCACAAGGTATAGATAGGAACTCTCGGTCTGGGGCAAGGGATTCTCTGTATTCTTGGTGCTTGGGGGAGTCAACAGTGGGAGGGCTCCTAGTGTCCTGGCCCCGCTGCTGGACCTCCTGATGGCCCCTGGTATTTTTGGCCACTGTGTGACAGAGTGTTGGACTGGATGGGCCATTGTCCTGATCCAACATTGGCTTTTCTTATGTTTTTTATGTACTGCTTGGTCCTTTCAACTGGAGATACCAGGGATTGAACCTGGGACCTTCTGCATGACAAAGCAGATGCTCTACCACTGAGCCACGACCCCTACCCAAGTGGGTCTTGGGGATAGAGAGAGTTCTTCTGGGGGGGGGGGGAGCTGCCTCTGATACTGCAAAGGACAGGAGATTACAGCAACGTATTCCAAGAGGTTTTAGATTGTCCTTTTTCTGAGCCTCCGAAGTATCTCCCGAGGGCTGCAGTTTACCAAATCTCTGCAGAGCATCAGGAGTTGCACACTGGGGAGACGGAAGGTGCATCACATTTGGAAATTGTCTCGCAGAAGGTCGTGATTAAAGGAAATCCCTGTTGCCTTTGAAGTCCTAGTAACAAGGAATAGCTATTAGCATGAGCGCGTGTGAAATACCCGATGTCCCGGAGTCGTCATAAAACGAACGTCGCCTGCAACTAATGCTAACGTTTCAATAGTGCATTGTGTATGGGCCGTCATCCCTTTTGCCTTGTGGAAAGCAGCCTTGGGCCGTATTTATTTGGATTGTAAACGGGGTGGGGGAAAGACTGTGAGGTCAGAAAAAAGGGGGAAAGAGCGCTCATTTTATTTGGTTAGCGGTTTCCGCGACTGGAATTACAGCGTCTTTGGGTCTGTGCGTGATTGGGCACAGCTTTTGATCCCACTGTTTCTGCAGGGGGGTGGGGAACATCTGGGCCGGCCAGATATTAAGACTGTTGGAATTAGCATAATTCTGATGGCTCCTTATTTGCTCATTGCTCGTGATTGAAATGACAGTCTTCGGACGGAACTTTTTCTGTGCACGCTGTGCGCCCATCGCCGACCTTCTAGCCGTAAAATGAATTGTGCAAATAGAATTGTGTGGTTGTTATAGATTCCCCCTCCCCCCTTTTGGTGCCAGCTTGGTGTAGTGGCTAAGTGTGAGGACTCTAATCTGGGAGAACCGGGTTTGATTCCCCACTCCTCCACCTGCACCTGCTGGATGACCTTGGGCAAGCCATAGTTCTGTCAGAGGTGTTCTCTCAAGGGCAGTTCTCGAAAGAGCTCTCTCAGCCCCACCCACCTCACAGGGTGTCTGTTGTGGGGAGGGGAAGGGAAAGGAGTTTGTAAGCCGCTCTGAGACTCCGAGTGAAGGGCGGGGTATAAATCCAATCTTCTCCTCCTCTTCTTCTTCTCTCGCCTTCTGTGTGTATGGCTGCCGCTTCCCCTGTTCACTTCTCCCGGGTGATACCTGTTCTTCCAGGATTGGGGTTGGCCCAATCCTGTTGTCCTAGCTTGTGAGCAAGGCCAGGGCTGCTGCCAGTGTAATAATAATTATCATATGGCATTGTGTGTAGAATAGCCAGGAGATCCTAAGATTGTCTGGCAGCCGCAAGTTCTATCTCTTGGTTTAATCACCACTAGGCGGCGAGTTAGACTTGTTTTTAGGGGCAGAGAGAGCCCTGAAAGAACTGTGATTTGCCCAAGGTCGCCCAGCTGGCTTCATGTGGAGGAGTGGGGAATCGAACCCGGTTCTCCAGATTAGAGTCCACTGTTCTTAACCACTAACCCAACCGTGTCTGGGTGCCTTTCCCTGCCCGTGTACTTGCAAGCCCTCTGCACCCCGTGCATTGATGGAGAAGTGCGTGCAGGTGGCACACAGAGGCAGCACTCCTGGTAGCCAGAGGAGCCAGATGCTCCAGCTGCAATTACTACCCGTGCTGCAGTTAACATGTATCTAAGCTGTTCGTGTATAGTCCTGTCTGCGTTCACCGGTAGAATTCCTAGTATCATCGTCTCTGGCAACCTGAACATTCTTGAGGGCCTTTTGTTGTCGTTCAGTCACACAGTCGAGTGCGACTCTTCACGACCCCACGGATCACCTCACACCAGGGCCTCCTGTCTTCCCTCGTGCTCCGGAGTTTGCTTAATTTCACATTCGTTGCATCGCTAACACTGTCTAGCCATCTCATCCTTTGCCGTCCCCGTCTTCTTTGACCTTCAATCTTTCCCGGCATCAGGGTCCTCTCCAGTGAGGGCTCCCTTCTCATTCGGTGGCCAAAGTATTTGAGCTTCAGCTTCAGTCTCTGGCCTTCCAGGGAACAGTCAGGGTTGATTTCTTTGAGGATTGACTGATTTGATCTCCTGGCAGTCCAGGGGACTCTCAAGGGCCTTTAGAGTTACTTATTTCGCTTTTCCGTTACAGCCGTTTTGGGGCCTGTTCATATGATAAGCTGCAGTGGCTCAAGTGGTTAAGACACTGAACTGTAAGCTGTGGAAGGTCGGTAGTTCAGCAGTTCGAGACCCAAGTGTGCCGCATGACGGAGTGAGCTCCCGTCTCTAGTTCCAGCTCCTGCCAACCTAGCAGTTCGAAAGCAACAAATTGCAAGTAGATAAATAGGTACCACTTCAGTGGGAAGGTAACAGCATTCCGTGCGCCTTGGTGTTTAGTCATGCCGGCCACATGACCACGGAAACGTCTTCGGACAGCGCTGACTCTTCGGCTTGGAAACGGAGATGAGCACCGCAACCCTAGAGTCGGATTCGACTGGCTTTCGAGCAAGGGAAACCTTTCCCTTGCAGTTGATAAACTTTCCGTTTGTTTGTTTCCTAGGAGGTGCTGATGATGCTAGACAACTACGTCAGGGATTTCAAGGCGCTGATTGATTGGATACAGCTACAGGAAAAGCTTGAGAAGACGGATGCCCAAAGCAGGTAATCAGGAGTGTGTTTCCATCTGCTGTGTCCCTTTTCTGCCTGATCAACAGACATCAGAATGCCTTTCCTTCTGTGCCATTTGTGAAAGTAACAAAAAAACTATTTTCAGACAACATGGGCTGAGTATGTGGGGGAAGGACAAGATTGGGCTTTGTCCATGACTTACAGAAAATTCATTTGAAGGCATGCATACAGGTTCACCGTAAGTCGAATGTGACCTGATGGCGCTTAACATACATGTACAGTGTACATTGGTACGGCTCTCTGAGTTAGAAGGACAGACACCTGTCTGTATAGGTGCTCTCTGTGTATCTATTAAAGAATGTGCATCAGTTGTGGGCGGCTACAACTACTGCCATTTTGGTGTAGCGATTAGGAACGCAGACTCTAATTTGGGGAGAACCGGGTTTGATTTTCCACTCCTCCACGTGCAGCTGTTGGTGTGACATTGGTCAGTCACAAGTTCTCTCGGAGCTATTCTCTCAAGGGCAGTTCTCGAAAGAGCTCTCTGAGCCCCACCTACCTCACAGGGTGTCTATTTTGGGGAAGGTAAGGGAAAGGAGATTGTAAGCCACTCTGAGACTCCTTCGGGTAGTGAAGGGCGGGGTATAAATCCAATCTCTTGTTCTTCTTCTTTTTATATATCCTTGTCTGTCCACGTCTAACTTCTGAAACGAGCCTTAGTATTGCATTGTTGTGTTTCCTGACACTCTGTTTCAAGTGAGCGTCACCAGATATGAGAACTGGGCACCCAATTGGTGTATAAATTTGTGGGTATTTGCTTCCAAATCCTCGTGCCTTAATTAAAATCTTCAAGGTGCCACAGAACTCTGTTGGGAGGGGTTTTTTATTGCTGTGGACTAAACAGTTCCAAATTTTGTTTCAATAATGCTGTTTTGATATTTCCAAAATAAGTTCAATAACATTGGTTTCTCTTTTGTCCGGACAAAACTGGACAAATAAAATCTTTCTTCAAAAGCCAACTTTTCCTCCCATTCTGTTTGTTAACGTTCAAGTTGTTAATTTTTTTTTTTTGTATGTGGTGTCCCCAATCCCATGATTCAGCTCTTGGGACTCATGATAGCTCAATAGACGCTTCCAGTTTAGGGGGAGATGATTGTTTTATGCCCAATGGGGCATGGCGGAGTATCGTGTGGCTCGTAGGGACAGAAAGCTTCGATCGGCTGGAAGTCACCCGGTGGGGCCTTCCTTATGTTGTCTGCTTTACATGATCCACCAGTGCTTCCACCCACCTTGGTTCCTGGAATGGCAGGGAGGGTGGGGGTATGCATTGGATAAATAATAAATAAATGTTCCACATAAATCAAATGTAAATAAATCACAAATGTCAGCGAAGTGGGGGGCGACGCGTTGTTTCGCTATCATTGCTTAGTATTTTATGTTGAATTTGCAGACCGACTTCCCTGGCCTGGGAAGTAAAGAAGATGTCTCCGGGACGCCACGTAATTCCAAGCCCGTCCACAGACCGAATAAACGTAACGTCCAATGCTCGCAGGAGTCTAAATTTTGGGTAAGGAAAGCTAGACCATCCTTTCTTATTTTAACAGGGTTAAATCGAGCTTTTTCAGAAAGGTCAGAATGGTTGTTAAGGTTCAATAATCCAAAATCCCGGTTTGTATTACATCTTAACGAACGCAACATGCAGCAGTTAGGCCTTTTTGAAATATATAAGAAGCGCTGTAAAAAAAAACAGGCCGCTATTTAATCCATCGGGCGGTCAAATACGCCGCACTCTTAGTGCAGTTCGGTGACTTGAACATAAAAAATGGATTAATACGTGTCGTGTGACCTGTTTAACAGGGTTGGGGGTTAGAAGGATTAAACTGTTTCTCCACCTTGTGCTATGGCCCTGATCTGAATCGGGCTCCTGTGCACCTGCTTTATGCCCGTGAAGAACATACAGATCGTTTCAGAGGGTACCCGTGTTGATCTGCAGTAGAACAGCTTGGTTTGAGTCCAGGAGCTTAGAGACCAATGAGATTTTTGGGGTAGGAGCGTTTGAGAACCAAAGTCTCTTTCATCAGCTGACAAAGTGAACTTGGACTAGGGGTGGGCTGATAGAGATGTAAATTTCCGGAAATTTTGAAGCTCGGGAAAAAAAACCGTTTTTTTTCCGGGGGAAAACGGAAATTTTCGGACAAATTGAAAAAAATGCTACATTAGCATTTCTTTTGTCTTTTCTAGATTGAAAGTCATTCTTTTACTTTAGGAACATAAAATATGACTATGGACATTTTTACTTGGCATGAAATTATCACAACTAGCATATTAAAAATATAGTGTATCCAAACAATTATTACAAACAGAATACCCACCCACATGCAAAAACAAAACTGAAACTTTTTAATTTTCTTCTGACAATCACACCTCCTAAAGGAAGAAATGCATCTTGTTCTTGCATTGGAGAGTTCAGTTTGTAACCTAGGACTTGCTTGTCCTCAGTGCACAGAAATTAGATCAATCTGATACCATATATATATGAACACCTTGTTTTAAAATATTTTATTAATCATGTTAAAATAAAAAGTTCCATAATCAATTTTCTTTTTCTTTTCTTTTTTCAATTTTTTCAATTTTTTGGAAAAAAACAAAAAGGCTTCAGGAAAAAAACGGGGGGGGGGGAACGTTTTTTTTCTGAATTTTTTTGGTTTTTTTCCGGGCCTTCACATTTCTAGGTGGGCATGAACCTCGTCATGAACCGAATTTCCTGATGAACATTGCTGGTTCGTGATTCGCGAACTGGAGGTTCGTGCCCATCCTTATCCATGACCCTCCCACAACCCACCACATGGTTTGGGAGGTTCGTGGGGTTCATAGTGGGAAGTGGGGGGGGGAGCGAGAGAGATCGCTGAAGTGGCTTGCATCCATTTCGGCCGAGCAGCAGGACTGGTGCGCCCGTCAACTGTGAGGCTGAAATAGGTGCAAGCCATTTCAGGGATCCCTTTCGCTCCCTCCCCTGCTTCAAAGCGTTCCCTCTAAATGGCCTTTGCAAGTTGCACGCAAGCGAAGTCCAAGCGGCGGGTTCACCCAGAACTGGTGGACGTGCTTCTTGGACTTCACTCACACGCGGTGCCTGCTTGCAAAAGCCATTTAAAGGGAACGTTCCCTTTAAATGGCTTTTGCAAGCTCTTCCCCCTGTTCCATTCTGCTGGCCTCGGGGACCTCCCCTCCACAGAAAGGAGGGAGAAACCTCATGAACCAAACTGCTTCGGTAAACAGGGAGGTTTGTGAAGGTTCGTGGCTCGTGTGACTTCATGAATCGGGACAAACCTCCATTTCCCCAGTTCATCCCCATCCCTAGCTTTGACGCTTGAAAGTTCATACCCCCAAAATCTTGTTGGTCTCTTAAGGTTAGTGCTGGGCACGAGTCTAGCTATACAGAAGATTCGGTCACGAATCTTCCAGCTCAGATGTTGGTTTTAAGCTTTTACGGGCTGTGTTTTGGCACCCCCCTGTAACTTTTAGCTTTTGTTGCGAAACAGGGAATCTTGTGAAAAAGTGGCAATATTTATTGGAATTACAGGAGTCCGTGTGAGTCCAGCAAACCTCAGAAATGAAGTTTGCCACGGTGCCAGGTCTCTCTCTGTGCAAGCTTACTCCATGCGGCTCTCTAGTTCTCGACAGCTGAATCAAATCGGCTGGCCACAGAGGGCAGAACCTTATTGGTCCAGGTCTTAATGTCGATGACATTGAGTTGTGCATTCATTGTTAATGTGGTGGTTTGGGGTGATGCTGTCTCTTCGTCTAAGCTGGACGACAGAGAGAGAAAGTAAGAACCTGAAGGAGGTATCAACATGGCGGTTTCCCTCCCCCTTCCTTAGGGCTCCTTCTGCAGCGGTGACTTCGAATCGTCTGGCTCCATCGGGTGTCAGCTGGGCCGACAAAGTGAAGGCGAACCACACGGCGGCGGCCCCCGCGAGACAGCGACGCGTGGCGCCCCCCCCCGCCTCAGAGACAGCAGCGAGGCAAACATCTGTGCCCACCCCAGTGCCAAAGCCTTCGCGGAGACACGGTAAGTATCCGGTCACCTAGAACCGTGCTGGAAAACCTGCCAGTTGAAAAACAGGATGCAGAAGGAGCAAGACCGTGGCCGGTGGAAACCTTAATGCTTCTTTGGGTTGAGAGCGAGTGTTCTAATCGAGCCATGGGGGGGGGGAATCCGTTCTACGTTTTACCCTTGAAATGTATTTATGGGAGCTGCAGTGGCTCAAGTGGTTAAGACGCTGAACTGCAAGCTGTGGAAGGTCGGTAGTTCAGCAGTTCAAGACCCGAGTTGCCGCATGACGGAGTGAGCTCCGGTCTCTAGTTCCAGCTCCTGCCAACCTAGCAGTTCGATTTCGGTGGGAAGGTCACAGCGTTCCGTGCGCCTTGGTGTTTAGTCATGCCGGCCACATGACCACGGAAACATCTTCGGACAGCGCTGGCTCTTCGGCTTTGAAATGGAGATGAGCACCGCAACCCTAGAGTCGGATTCGACTGGCTTT